TAAGGGAGAGGAAGAAGTGCTTGAGGGCATTCCTCCTCCGCCATTCCTCTTCCATTCCGCCCTGGTGGGTGATGGTTGCTGAGCTGTGGCTGCCGCCCTGAGATGCAGCTCTCTGCCACGTGCCACTCTGCCTTATAATCATGCCTAGTACGGATTGAAACCTCCACAAACTGTAAGCGAAATAAACCTTTCCTTCCCTAATTTTGGTCAGGTATTTTGTCCCAGCAGCGAGAAGGAAGTAACCAAGACAATAGGGTCTTGGTAATGTAGTGCAGGCTGGCCTTGAACTAGCTATGTAGCTCTGGTTGGCCTCTAAAACTCATGGCTATCTTCCTGCCTCAGCCTCCCGAGGGATGGGATTACAGGTGTGCGCTACCACGCCCCACTTTATTTTTGTTTTGAGACAGGATCACTAAATTGCCTAGGCGGGTCTCAACCTCCTGGGTCCTCCTGCTAAGTAGCTGTGGAACAGGAAGGCAGGACATAGCTAACACTGGCTGGAAAAGGAGACACAACAAAATCCCAGGACACGTGCACGGAAGAGTTCCCGCAGCCTGAGGAGCAGGTGATACAACACGGACACTCACACTGAGTTTGGCCACGGTGCTCTCTTTTGCGTGCTGCTCTGCTTCACGCTGTAGCGTGTACTACTTTTCTTTAACTTGGGCCAAACTCACTCTGTAGAGCCTGTTTCTTTTCCAACCTTGAATAAAGTTTTGCAACCGTTTGTGCTCGTCTTGACCAATTCTCCGCTCGTGACAGAAAGAAATACAGAGCACCCCAAAAGGAGACACCAGCACCCCAAATGCCACTATCTGGGAGCCGCGAGCTGGGATTACAGGCATGCACCACCTCGGCCTGAGTTTTTTTCCTTTTCTTTTTTCTTTTTGGTCTTTTTGAGACAGGGTTTCACTACATGGTTCAGACTGGCCTTGAGCTTACTTTGTAGCCCAGGCTGGTCTCGCACTCGCAACGATCCTCCTGCCTCAGCCTCCCGAGTGCTGGGATTACAGGCTTGCGCCACCATGCCCGGCTCGGCCTGAGTTTCTCACAGTTAAATCTAAGGATGGGAACTCTAAACTATCTATTTGTGGATCAGCAGCCTTCTAATTCTAGCCAAAGCAATTTAGTAACAATAAAACTGTCTTCCTACCCCTACCAGCTCTACATTTTAAGTTAACTGAAGGGCATTTAACGTCACATTTACAGCAGACCACGTCAAAGGGCCTAAGATTCTATATTATTTCAAAGAGCTCAGTGTGTCATTACTATTCCAAGTGCAGAAAATCCAGCTGCATGAGGCACTCTGTAGGAAACAGTCTGAACACAGTAGGCCTGAGACTGCAACCCTCGAAGTTCTTGCAAAGCGCATCCTGAGATGCTTCACCCTCTGCCCCTTTTCCTCCCTCAAAACTCACCTCTGACTACAAGGCTGCGGTTGCCCAGCACACACACTGCTATCCCCACACTCACACAGCCCACAGCTCCGGGGACGGAGCCTCCAGGACTCGGGCAAGAAAGGAATCAATCTCAAAGGTGGAGAAACCCACCCTAGTCGGCTATTTTTAACCAGCCCCCAGAACAGGCAAAGGACAGGGCAGTTTTATTTTAAAAATACCTCATGAGCCTAGTATGGCGGTGCACACCTGTAATCCCAGCACTCAGGAGGCTGAGGCAGGAGAATCACTGTGAGTTCAAGACCAGCCTGGGCTGTAAAGTGAGCTCAAGGCCAGCCTGAACTGCATAGTGGAAACCTGTCTCAAAAAAACAAAAAAAGAAACCCTCAGGTGAGAAAACAAAACACTGCATAAGGTTCTTCATTGCCGCTCTTCTAAAATGCTAAGCTGCCAGACTCTCAGTGCCTTAACTCAGTTTTGGCTGAGAGTTCATAACTTGCCTGACGGTCTTAGCAAGGGCCAGGAGCCTCAGTCCACACCCCGTGGACTAGGACAAAGGCCTCTTCCCTCCCCAGCGGGGGTTGGCCTTTCTCCTCTTGGTTCTCAAGGAACTCACTGGACTCTGACTCCTAAGGATTTTATTTTCGGGCCTCAATTCCACCGTCTGCCCTCGCAGACCGAGCAGAGGTCTGCAACCCAGTGTGTTCTGAGGGCCAACACTCCATGCAGAGCCGAAGCCGCGAGGGGGAAGCTCTGCACCTGAGCTGGTGGGGGCTGCGGTGGCAACAGCGCACTCCCCCCGGCCTGGGGCAGGGGGCTCACGACACAGATGTGACCTTCACCCCAACACTCAAGTCTTGGGCCGAGATGGCTCTTTAGTGCCAAAACGACCCTGAAATCCATCAGGTCTGGTCCCAAACAGCCCAGACGAGGGGTTTCTAGACCCTGGAGAGCACCCGTCTCTGCCAGGCTCCGTGCTTCCATCTTGGGTGGCCTTTGTGTCCCTGGGGACCTCCCTTGTCTGAGAGGACAGCACCCCTTGTGAGACAACTTGCTCTCGGGTTTTCCCCCACCTGGGCCTCGCTTGCTTATGTGGCAATGGAAATATAGTTAACTGCTTCTGGATTTAATGAGCACAATTTCGTTGACTCTCAATTTCAAGAGGAATGGATGAATCGCTTACTCTGTGACATTCACTGGGATATTTCATGCAAGTCAGACTACGCACACGGCAAGTCTGCCTTTGCTGAACAGATGTGACAGGCTCACCTGCCTTCCATTTCTTTCCTTGTTTCTTTCGGAGACAGGATCCCACTGTGTTGTCCAAGCTGGCCTTGAACTCATAGTGATCCTCCTGCCTCCACCTCCCTAGTGCCGGGATGAGAGGCGTGTGCCACTGCGCCCAGTGTGGATTTCTAATCCTGGTGGGAAGGATGTCCTCCCCCAGAACTGCACTCGGAGGGAAGCCCGACTTGCGCCCAGCTCCACTGGAAGTGATTTCCACACCCTGCTGTCGCCTCCCACCTTCCTCGACCGTAGAGAGCACTCACCGAGGGGCAGCACCCGGGTGAGGTTGGCCACCGGGGGGTCCGTCTCTGGAGGGCACTGCTCGCAGAAGTCCCAGCAGGACGGGCAGAGCAGGTTCCCGCCGTGGATCCAGCCGTTCATCTGAATGCTGACGGGCAGGACCTGACCGGCCCGGCTACACGGATATGCTGTGTCCTGCACCCAGACCTTCAGACCTTGAGGAGAGCAAGAGATCTTCAAACAGAGGGGAAAAGAAATCAAGTCAGTAAATTCCAGGCTGTGAGATTTCCATCACTGCAGGAAAATGTGTTAAAACTTACTAAAAACGTCGGCTATAAAGCACAACCTGGGATGTGGGCATTTAACACACAGAAAGTGGGTTAAGCTATTTAGGTTCTAAAAGAATTTCACTTTTCACGCTATCATAATTGTTCTTTATTTTGGGCCTTCTTTATTTTTGAGACAGGACCTCGCTATATAGTCCAGGCTGGCCTCCAACTCATGGCAATCCTCCTCCTTCAGCCCCCCAAATGCTGAGATTATAACCGTGCAGTAGCAAACCCTGAGCCTAGCAATGTGAATTCAGAAGGCCCTGAAGCCAAGTTACAAAGAATAACATTTCTACAGATCGCAAAACCTTTGTATTGGACAGCTTACATCTGCAGCCCTCACGCTTGTCCCTCTCCCCACAAATGACTGCTTCTGTAAGCCAAATTTTACTAGTTATGTCCATTACTAAAATAATGTGTATTCATTTGTTTAAAAGTACAGCATAGGCCGGGCATGTGATGTACAACTGTAGTCTTAGCACTCGGGACGCTGAACAGGAGGATTGCCACAAGTCTGAAGCCAGCCTGGGCTACAAAGTGAGTTCAAGGCCAGCCTGAACTGCATAGTGAGACCCTGTCTCAAAAAACCAGATAGATAGATAGACAGACAGATAGCAAACATACAGCACAGAAATGTACACAGTAAAAGGTCTTCATTTTATTCCCTAGCCCAGACCTCTTGCTCAGAAACAAAAATGCTAACTGATTTTTT